CTCCAAATTCCTTGCAAAATTCTTTAGACAGGCAACATCCTCAAAAGCTCCAGCAACATCCCATCACACTAATTCGGTTCATGAGACATCACTCTACCACTCAACAGTGGAAGGAAATTCTTGTGTTTTCTAAGACGTGTGACGCCCGTCCATTAACCTCATCCTAAAATCCAGAACAGTCAGACCAAAATTATCGGTAATTCACTAATTTCGTGGTCCGCTTGACCAATTAATATATTACAATTAATTAAGGTTTTTAGTTGAGATAAAAAAGTCATGGCACGAGCGGGATTCGAACCCGGGATTGAAAAATGGCAAAAAGGAGGGAAAATTCAAAAGGTGGGGTTGAGGTGGGAAGTTGGTGTCTGAGTGGATCGAGGTCACGATAGCTCAAGTGGTAGAGCAGCGGCGTATCAAGCCGAAGATCGTGGGTTCGAATCCCGCTCGTGCCATTGACATTTTTATCTCAACTAAAAACCTTAATTAATTATCGGTAATGATCAAATTACAGGTTCATGAACTTTCTTAACTTTAGCAGCTTATTTCCCGAACTATCTGCTGCCATTTTTTAGAAAAATCCTTGAAAAACTTTTGAAACATGTTCTATCCTTGAAAGCTCCGGTGTCATCTCATCCCATCAATTAGGTTCAGGCTACACCACTCTGCTCTGGTGAATGCCATGCCATAATGACCAAATTACACATTTTTCCCCCACAGACCACATTGGCAGAAAAACATCATAATATTGTACTTATGTTAAAGCCTACAAAACCTTGAATTCTTATCTTCAGAAATGACGTTCAACATTTCATCCATCATTGCATTCTCCCTTAAAAGGAAGGAGTGACATTTGAGTACTTTCTTAGACGAGTGTGGCACCCGGGCTTGCTTAGAAACTCAAGGGCCTTCCATTAAGTTATTACCTACCCGGCTATCCGATAGGTACTTTCAAGTCCTATGCTGAAGCGTGTGTTCCGTCAGGGATGGTCAGGGATCCTTGATTTTCCGTTCAGTATATATTTTATACAGATATTCCTATAATCACGATACCCAACCCCCGACAAATGGAGACGATACCGCCTTCCTTTCAGCAAGCCCATAGCCTAATGGCCGTCAGAAACCTCCAGGACTATCTGTCCTTGGAAGAATGGTCCTGGAAATGGAGGATCAGGCCCAACAAATTTCTTTCACCCTACGCGGTATTACCTCTCATTCAATCTATTACAACCAACTGGATTGCAACGACCACCCTAACTTATACGAGTTGAAGTCCTGAATTTATAATAAGTTTCGGCATTTCTATAAAGGACTCTTTTATAGGATCGTGAGGAGTATTGGTTATCTTTGTCGATTTTTTGGTGCTTTTTTTTAAATTATTACGGTAGGTCTTTTGATCGTCGGCCATTTTTAATTTTTAATTGATACGCACAGAAATTACACAGACGTAATGAAGATAACAAGAAGCCCAAACACGTCTGACAGACAAAATGATCGGAAACAACCATAATATTGGTTCATCAACCCCAAGATCTCGAGAGAAAATTCAACAATTTATTTATTTTTTGTCTCAGGTTTGAACAATTTCGTGCCCATTAGGAATGTACCTATTTTCGATGAGTTCTTGTCAGCGGTTTGTTCAAAACAGATCGATCAGGTCCATCCATCCTCGCTGAACTGCTGACACTTGAGTCTTAATCACGACTGTATTCAAACGCCAGCATTTAACCGCCTAAGTATTGTTGTATTTTTCCACTAAACGCCCCCCCCCCACGTTTATACAGTTGTTTCAATAATATTTGTCATTTTATCTGAACAATTTCACCATCAACCCACACATCAAAACCCAATTTACTACTGGTGATCGTTGTTATTGATTCATTGGACATGAAAAGAACAACTGGCAATAATTTGCTTGTATAGCGCATATTGATTATATGTTTAAAATATGAAATGAAAATAAACGGAAGCCACAGGATGGTCAGTGATTGAGACCGAGCAGTCACACTTAATCCGAAACTGGCCTGAATCGCAGCGTGTCCGAATGGCTAAATGCAAATTTATTTCGGTTTTATGCACAGTCATTCGGCCGCCCTCATTAATAGTGGATCGTAGTAAATTATTCTTAACCCCAGCGGGCTCGTTTTGAATCATATATGCATCTCTAAATTTATTTACGACCGATGGAGACCGTTTCTACGATTTAACTGCCGATTTACTGTTCGTGATTGACATCAGCGGGCCCGCCGTTTCTACTTTTTCTTTGCATCTTCGACCCCGAATTTTCTTGGCCGATTGTTAAACTTTGACCGTAAAAATATTATCGCGGAAAAAGAGTATAAATCGCCGGCTGTAAAGGGACGCCAGGCTGGACACCCTTAATATACAGTGTTTTAGTATTATTCTTGACGGTCTGTGGATGTTTACAGTCAATACTTTCATTTTAGGATCAACATTAGACGCGTTCGCATCCGAATATACATTGAAAAAATTGTTTTCAAAATTTTATTACGTCAATCCATAAAGTTTTATTTAAATGGAGGAATTGCAAACGGTCAAATGTTTTCGTTTTTTGACTCCAGTGGCTATCAACAGCTAGGTCATTTCAGACCACAACGCAATCTCAGATCCAAACCGATTCATACACTCACAAACACATAAATACATTCTTTCCAATTTACCTGGTGGTGTTCTTTATATTCCTCTATAACTCACCACACATATTATAAACTAATCTAATCGAGGGTCGATGGGGTATTCAATATTCCACCACCTACCTTTCACACTACCCATTCACGCTAATAAATTCAGTCTCAATCCACACCAAAATCACATAATCTACAAAGTACTATAACAGACCCGTTTCATCCGAAAATCGGAACGGGGGGGCAAGCAAGCACAATTCTCATTTCGGGTACGCTCCATCCAAGGGGGCCAAGGAGTGACACCCTTCAACAAATCCAGCAATCTTTCTCTTTCTCCACATACGAGGGCTTTGGCTCAAAAGTAAGTGTCCGTGTATAAATCTCGCATGGGATATCCTTATTCGGGTAAGTATGACCCTTCATGACCCTTCGATGTGTCAGACCTCCGAGGTTCTGTGGATTAGCGAAAAGTTGGACGTCCCAACCTCCGGGTTTAACCACCGCGATCCGGCAACGCTGCTACTTTCTTTTAATCATATTTTTCTTGCATTTTTAGCGTGATCTATGATTTTTCGTTATTCTACAGACTTATGTCTAGGTGTGTTTTGACAATTCACTCCAGTTCTTGGTGTCTTTCCTACAATAACACGGGTGGACGGAAAACCTGACACGGACAGCAGTAACCGCGCTAAGGGAGTCGGTACGGACTCGCCGGTCACTTCCAACTGTGCGCTCTTTTCTTGCATGCGCTGCATTTTTTCCTGCATTTGCTTGGCCTGCTTCATAAGATTGCCCTTTTCTAGAGACACCAACGTCTTCACCCCAATAGCGTGCCAAATCGCGTACAATTCCGTAGTATAAACGCTACAGTGGGGCGGGAGAGATCACGAAGTGGACACCCTCGTCGGTCCTAGACCCGTCTCTAAAGACAAGCTGAAAATCCGAGTATCTCGATCTAAGTTCCAAAAACTTAGCTCGGTAAAGGTATAGCATAATAGTCGACTTGTTGTAGTTGCTCAGCTCGAGTGCAGTTCCCTGTCAACCCTGCCCTCCCTAAGGCTTCGCCGAAGCGTATTCCCAAGGGTCGCGTCCAGAACTGAAGTATATCGTCTATTCTGCTGGACTGACATCTAAACATCGCACCCAAAACCGGATGTCCCGATTTGGTAAGGAAACCTGCCGCATACCCCAAGGTAAGCTGCTCTCCCGAAGTTCGGGCGTCAGGACTCCCAGCTCGCAGCACAGTCTGGCCAAAAAAGGCACCGGTGACCGCTATAAGGCCCTGATAGTAGAGCTTATCGAGTTTCTGCAAGCGCGTTCGGCATTAAGAATAGGCCATGCAACCACAAAACAAGGTCAAACACAGTCAAACAGCGAGTCCAACATTTTCTTTAAGTCTCCTTGTCCACTCCCCCATGAAGTGACCAACGAACTTTAAAAGTGATGACTTTTCTTCCCTTCATCTCGGCGCCGACAATGTGTGGCTGTTCTTAACTTCAAACTGTCAACTGTTTGTTAAAAACCAAATTTGTCGTAAAAATGTAATTTTAAAGTAAAAACCCCTCGCGGTTCCATAAGAACAGTAGGTTTCGTTATTTTTAAATAAAATTAGCAACTGCCAAGGCGAGGAAAACAAAAGGGTCTGTCATTAGAGAACAATGAAAATCAAACGTCAGTGGCAATTTGCATTAGTTTTTAGTACAATAGACCCAAATGGGTTTATGCAATATGCATACTTAAATATGACGCCCAAATTGTGAGGATGTGCTTAGCTGGTCGTCATTTATAATACGTTGTCATCACATGATTTATCTTCATTGATTACCGCGTTGGGCACTAATATAACACTAGGATGCACCACTATATTAACCCATCTAATGAATGATGGTAGCACACGTTTAACAATGTAACCAAATAATTCACGACTATGTGAAAATTAGGCCGGGACGCGGGTTCGCAACCAGCAAATTTTGTTTGATGGGCCGCGTGGTTTTAGGAAATTAGTTCTGTCGCTGAGAAAATTGACAATATTGGTTTTGTAAATTAGGGTTAAATTTTGTCACTCGTACCTAGAAATTTATGAATAATAAACACAAATCGATTGTTTATTTTTTGCTTTAAAAAAACCTATTATCCAGTTAGTTTTGATCTGGAATTCTGCACTAATTACCAAAAAATAAATAAAAGAGAAAAAACTGTGACAACATTAATTGTAAAAAATGCCACAACCGTAGTTATTGAATAACTTCATAGAAAACTGTAAGGTAAAGTTATTGAAAGAAGAGAATGAAAGGCACTGCGCCTAATGCGAGGGTAAATTTAAAAAAAAAGGCCAACAAACAAGAAATAAATTGCCACCAACAGTTTAAGTAAAGATTTATTTTATTTAGTTTTATTTACAAACTGATAACAACTATTCATTTTGAGAAAATACTGAATAACAAAAGAAAGATTTTGTCAAAAGTAGGATATTTACCGATGTGAGATTATAAATAACAACACCACAAATTTATTTACACAAGGTAAACTGCGTTGATTAAATTAAACTTAGATGCTCCAGAAGTGCTGGACACTGTTTCCGATTCCCTTGCCCCTAAAAGTCAAGTTGAGGAGGCCGAAGAGCAAGAGGATTGAATAGACGTAAACAAGCATCACTGACAGTTTTGGTATAAATTTGCCGAATATAATCGGGCGGACGTAATCGACGACTACGGCTTCGACACCCCTGTGAAATTAATAATCAATGGACGAATATAAAAAGCAACATAAAACCAATACATACCAGTGGACGTGCATTGTTGTGGCGATAGCGAATATGAGATCGAAGAGTATATTCGGAAACGCGACTGCCAAAGGAGCGACTACGACCATAGAGGCGGATAAGTATTTCTCAAGAGACCACATCCTGCCATGGTCGGAGCCCATGGAATGCTTCACCGAGGTAGTTGTGAACGGCCTCAAAGCATCTGTCAAGCTTACCCTTTGTGCTGGAGGACTCTAACAACAAGAAACTTGAATTTATTGGATAGTCGATTAAAGCATTTATTTCTACGGAAATTAAAGAAGAATAAAAGCTGTTAAATATAATTACCAGGAAAACATTACATTTGAATAGAGCAGATATTAATTACTTTAGAAAGTAAACTTTTCCAATTTGACTTGAATTTTTGGTTGAAGTTTGGACAGCAGGAGATATAAACAAAAATTTCTTCTGCGACCAAAATATCTTTTACTTTCAGCCCGGTGAAAATGAAAGCTTTGATTGGCGCAAGCTCCACCAAAAAAACAAGCTATATTTGTCAAATTGCGTTAAAACACCATCAAATATTTTCATATTTTTTATTTTCATTAAAATTTCAATTAAACTAGTAATTTTGTATATTGTAAAATAAATTATGGAATGTTGAAAGTTTGGGCAGTAAGAGAAATGATTAAATTTCTCTTATGAACTTTCTGCCTGGTGAAAATGAAAACATTGTTTGATGCAAGCTTCATCAAGAAAACAGGCTTTTTGGCCAATTTGGGTTAAAACAACAATAAATACTTTTTTCATATTTGTAATTTGTGTTTTTTTTTACTTTCCACGTGGTTTTTTTTTATAAAATTTGTTTGTTTTATTTTTACATTTTAGGACATTTACACCCATCATTAGCATCTTATTTTTTAAAAATTTAAATTTGTCGTTATTTACAGGTTTTTTTAAAAAATATATGACCATTTTGCATTATCAAGTATGCGGCTTAAAAGTTAAATAAACCTAAAACTGTTAACATAAAAAACTAAAACAAATGTTGGAATGTTGAAAGTTTGGGCAGTACGAGAAATTATCAAATTTCTCCTGTGAACATACCATCATTTACTTTCAGCCTGGTGAAAATGAAAGCATTGATTGATGCAAGCTCCATCAAAAAGCAGGCTATTTGCAGTTTGAGTAAAAACCATATTAAATATTTTCTTATTTTGAGCAGCAAGTAATTTAAAAAAGTAAAATAAATGTTGCGATGTTGAAAGTTTGGGCAGCAAGAGAAATTATCAAATTTCTCCTGTGCACATACCATCATTTACTGTGAGCCTGGTGGAAATAAAAGCATTGATTGACACAAGCTTCATCAAAGAACAGGCTTTATTTGCCAATGGGCATTCAAAGACCTTTTAAAAAACAAATAATGAAAGAGTAACTAGCAATAAACTAGTAATATAAAAAAATGAAATAAACCTAAAACGATTGACATAAAAAACTAAAATACATGCTGGAATGTTAAGTTTGGGCAAAAGAGAAATGTAATTTCTCTTATGAACATACCATAATTTACTTTCAACCTGGTGAAAATAAAAACAACGATTGTCACAAGGTTAATCACAAATAGGCTATATTTGTCAATTTGCATTAAAACACCATTAAATATTTTCATTTTTTGTTCATTGGTTTAAATCACAAACAATCCAGTATCATAAGAAAGTAAAATAAATGTTGCAATGTTGAAAGTTTGGGAAACAAGAGAAGTGATCAAATTTCTCCTGTGATCATACCATCATTTACTTTCTGCCTGGTGAAAATGAAAGCGTTGATTGAAACAGGCTTCATAAAAATAAAAATAAATAAAAATAAAAAAACAGGCTTATTAGCTCATTCCAATTAACATGCTATTACATGGGCATGTAATATAAATAATAAATTGGTGATATAAAAAAGTGAAATAAACATAAAGTTAATACAATAAAGAAGCAAAATAAATGTTGCAATTATTCAATTAATTAAGGTTTTTAGTTGAGATAAAGTCAGCGTCACGGCGGGATTCGAACCCATGAACTTCGGCTAGATACGCCACTACTCTACCACTTGGAGTATCGTGACTTCAATCCTCTCGGACACTAACCTCCCATCTCATCCCCACCTATTTAATTTCTCCTCACCTATTTTTTGCCATTTTTCAAAGGTGGGATTCAACCTGGTGAAAATAAAAGCAACGATTGTCACAAGGTTAATCACAAATAGGCTACATTTGTCAATTTGCATTAAAACACCATTAAATCTTTTCATTTTTTGTTCATTGGTTTAAATCACAAACAATCCAGTATCATAAGAAAGTAAAATAAATGTTGCAATGTTGAAAGTTTGGGAAACAAGAGAAGTGATCAAATTTCTCCTGTGATCATACCATCATTTACTTTCTGCCTGGTGAAAATGAAAGCGTTAATTGAAACAAGCTTCATCAAAAAACAGGCCATATTAGCTAATTTCAATTAACAAGCTATTAATTGAACATGTAACATAAACAATAAATTAGTAATATAAAAAAGTTAAATAAACATAAAGCTAACATCACAAAGAAGCAAAATAAATGCTGCAATGTTGAAAGTTTGGGAAACAAGAGAAGTGATCAAATTTCTCCTGTGATCATACCATCATTTACTTTCAGCCTGGTGAAAATAAAAGCATTGATCGAAACAAGCCCCATCAAAAAACAGGCCATATTAGCTAATTTCAATTAACAAGCTATTAAAAGAACATGTAACATAAACAATAAACTAGTAATATAAAAAAGTTAAATAAACATAAAGCTAACATCACAAAGAAGCAAAATAAATGCTGCTGCAATGTTGAAAGTTTGGGCAGCAAGAGAAATTATCAAATTTCTCCTGTGAACATACCATCATTTACTTTCTGCCTGGTGAAAATGAAAGCATTGATCGAAACAAGCCCCATCAAAAAAACAGGCCATATTAGCTAATTTCAATTAACAAGCATTTAAATGAACATGTAACATAAACAATAAATGTGTGGTGTTTAGTGACTTTAGCCAATGATTATTTGGAGATCGTGGGGTGCGGTCTGGTGTGACGTAGGTTTTAGAAAAACATTTTCTTTATCATGCCAATGTTTTGATCTTTATTGAGATCATCTTCAGGGCTTGGGATTTATAAACATTGTTTAAATTTTTCAAATACATATGGGAGGGAAAAATAATGAATTTATACAATGCTTTTTTAATCTTAAATTTTTTAGCATTGTATAAATTCATTCTTTTTAATCTAAAATTTTCTACCAATGTATACATCAATTTTTTTTAATCTAAAATTTTCTAGCATTGTATAAATTCATTTTTTTCCTACATGTATTTGTAAAATTTAAACAATGTTTATAAACCCCAGGCCCTGAAGATGATCTCAATAAAGATTGAAACGTTGGCATTATAAAGAAAATGTTTTTCTAACACTTACATCACACAAGACCGCACCTCACGATCTCCAAGTAATAATAATAAACAATAAACTAGTAATATAAAAAAGTTAAACGTAAAGCTAATATCATAAAGAAGCAAAATAAATGCTGCAATGTTGATAGTTTGGGCAGCAAGAGAAATTATCAAATTTCTCCTGTGAACAAACCATCATTTACTTTCTGCCTGGCGAAAATGAAAGCGTTGATTGAAACAAGCTCCATCAAAAAACAGGCAATATTTGTCACTTTAAGACCATATACTAGTATAGACTATATGCTAACTAATAAAATAAAAAAGTATAATTAACTGTTCAAAGCCTAACGAAAAGCCTTTTTCGCACTTGCCAGCCCACATTGTCCCTTGTCTCCGCACACACAACCATCTACGGTTAGGTCTGGAGACTGGGGGTTGTGCAAAGTTGGCACTTTATACAAAAGACATTTCTTATTGCACAGTGTTTCGGGTCTTGCTGTATTCAAGTAGAAAATTATTTTATTTCAATAACTATACTTTTTCTAAGGTCTTGGTTGAAATGAAAAAGTTAGTGTCACTAGCGATATTGGATACCTTTGGCTCAATATGACACTACTCTAACCACTTGAGCTATCGTGACTTCCATGAAGTTTTTTATATTTTTATTTGTTTTTAAATAAACAAAACAAATTTTTTTTGTATTTTACTCAATAATTGTATTTTTAGAATTAGGCAATAAACGTTTTCTTTTTAAATGTCTTATTTTTACAACCAAACACATTTTTGGTATATAAATCAACTTAAATACATTAAAATTTAAGGGTTGTGCATTAATTTTGTCTATCAGTAGAGTGCCTATGTGCGGGGTTAATACAACCAACCAGTTTGTACGGAAACAGCGAATATGTATTTGCCAAGTGCCGTGCTAGACTTCAACTTACTGCCAATCATGATGGAAACACTGAAACTGTCATTGCTGCAGCTGTGGTTACTGTTTTATGTAATGATTGCAAACTCAAGTCACAAATCTACTACAGAGATCTTACTTTTGATCCGTTTCCACAAGTCGATAATCTCGTTCTGATGTTTGTGATTTGGAAGAGAAGCGTAAGCACATAGAACCTTTACTTGGCAAATGTTCAGAGTAATCGGTATTTCGCAAATACATGTTTGGAGCCACCTTAAGGTAAAGGTCCCAGGTTCGACCCTGCATTCCAACCTGACATACAAATGGGATTTTTTTTTTTTTTTCAAAAACCCACACTATGAGGGTTGAATATGATCTCTGCTGTAGCTAACTCTCATACAAAAAAAGTTTATTTATGATTAATTACAACTATGGTTGGTGAACAACCGAGCACCCATCCTCACTAGTCAGGATTCGGCTCACCTTTGCTCAGCATTTGGTGAATCCAGCATCTGTAGCCTCCTTTACAGTGATAAGCACCATGTCAACGGCTAAACCGTTCCAACCATTGACGCCCCCAACTAAACTATTAAAAAGCCAATTTTGGTAGTTGATAATTAACTTTTATGTAGAATTTCATCACTGAAGATAGCATGAAACCAAAACATGTACAAATGCAACGTAAGAAGCCAGTGAGAATAGATAGATCTAGTAATGTTATCACGATCAGTTCAGCGTGAGTTCATCATCTAATAGACCAAATAAATTGATATGGTAAATAATTTATAGCTTTTCTAATGGCCAACTTGTAAATTTCTTTTTCGCCAAAATGAGACAGATAAAATTAAACGAACCAGTTTTTTTAAGAGTTCCGATGAGTTTCTCTTCTGTACGGCGGTGAGCTTATCGTAGGCGAAGGTCGAAATAGGCGACATCCTAGAGGCGATCCCGAGCCCCGGTTGGACTGAAAAGAAATAGACTCGTTTGAATTAAAAGAGAAAAAACGAATTTCACGATTCGAAATACCTTTACAAACGGAGACGGAGCCCCTGAGGAGGCACGACAAAGCCATTTCTTCTTCAAAAAAATGAAATTATCCTGACAGACAAAAATCGCACCTTTATGCAAATATTCAGATCAAAGGGTAAACAATGAAGAAAAGTAACCTCCCCGGTGAAAAAATGTTCCTTACTTTATAAAACCTGACAAATAAAAGAAAATACAGGCCTAAAAATAATTGCAAAACCATTTTTCTTATTATATTTTTTTAAATTACTTTTGTTACATGAAAAGGTTAAATAATATTCAAATTTTAAATCCTCTATAGAAATAAAAGTTGATATTTATAAACTTCTGTCATTAGTATAACAGCGTGTAACCTTCACAATCAAGCATACCTTCTTGAAGTTTTTTTGTATTCTAATATTTTTTTAAAATGAATAGTTTAATTAATAAAACTATTGGTTTAAGCCTCGTCCCGTGTACAGGAGGACTTACTGGAACGTTTTCCAAAAGGGTACTTTTTAAGGAATATTTCAAATATTAATGCTTAACTAACTTTGTTGCTGTTAAGTCTGTGAGCAGTTAACTTTTGCTGCAGCTAACTTTACACCTGCATGCTTTACTGCTAAATAAAATATGTTTAAGAATGTTGGTTAAAACTTTGTCAACTTCAATTGTACATTGCAAATCAGTTCTAACCGAACAAATCAATACATTTGTAATTGGGTCGTTTTTGATTGTTTTAATACGCCTATCCTTGCTGAACAGAAAGACATGATTGAAAAACAGACTAACCGCTGGACGATGGCAAAAGGACAAACCAAAACTCGATGTTAGACAGGATAAAATGATCGGAAATGACCAAGATACAGTTCCGAATAATTCCAAAAGGGTTCCTGTCAACAGGGAGAAACAGAAAAGCTGATATCGCAACTTCCAGACAAGACCCACTGGCTTTAGAGATAAATGAAGGGCTACAAGGCCTCCCACACCTCGTCCTGAGTAGATCTATTGTGCTCCTCTATTTTTTATAACTCACTTGCCAGGTTAAGGTTATTAATCAACCTACCTTGCCAGTGGCTTCTTATTGCAGAACCTTGCTTGCTTTCCTCTCCTAATTGCAAGAATCTACACCTACATCGACCCTCACAAAATCAAAATGTGTCCTGCGGTCAACTTTTTTCCTGGCAGTATCTACACAGTATTTCTTCTGTAGTACTCTTATCCATATATCCCTTCTTAGACGGCAGTGGATTGTCAAGAGTCCAACCAGAATTCTGGTTCAGTTGTTTGTTGATTTCTGACTGTTGTAAAAAAATCTTTATGTGTATTCTGCCATGCATGAATCTTTGCATGCCTTTTCCCATGCTCTCATGTTATCCCCCCTCATATATCTTTTCACGTGTATAAAGAACTGATAAAATGATTTGTTTATTACTTAGCTGTTACCATAATGTTTGTTATTTTCAGTTCACTTACATCCTTAAGAGGCGATATCCAGTGACTCGACTGCCAAAAAATTACAAAGAAGCTAAATTTAAAGGGAAAAATTATATATACGATTTGATTGAAGATACTTCTTCAAAAAAACAGAGGGATGTCCAAGTGATTCTGAAAACATTTGTTGAAGGTAACTGTGATTTATGTTATGTCACATTTACATATTATGTTGGCAAAACAACTAATTATTTATAATTTATTAACTATTAATTATTTAATTTATTTATTTATAATTTTATTTTATTTTATTTTTTATTTTTATGTTCATAAGTTTATTTCATTTTAAACCAGAGAAATCCACATTGAACAAAGTATTCCAACTGTTCTCTCTCAATTTTTTTTTTTTTTTTTTAAACCATTTATAGGACACAGGTGCATCTCTTAAACACGGTTTACTTAGCAACTCATTCCCAAATTGTTCAGAGTTTACTAATTTTCCATAGCAAAAATTGGTGTTCCAAACTCATCATAAAGAAATAATAGCAAAAGAAAAATATTCTATGAATCTTTGAATAAACGACGATATGAAATGCTGTCAAATTTTCTTCTATGTGTCTTTCTACAAATTATAAAGAGATAATGAAAAATTCCTTATCCGAAAAGTTGGAAAAGACAAATTTTTAAAACGAGCTTCTCCTGGGTCATAGGAACGTGTGGTTGACACATAATTTTAACTGTTGAATACCATGGGTATGCCTCACAGGCTCATTAACTTTTACAAAATGAAAAGGTTATATGAAATGGGAAGCAAAAGCTGGAGGAACAACACATCGTGATGAGCCTGGAAATAAAACCTGAGATTAGCGTGTGACTAGCGTGATTAATATTTCTGCCAAAATTATCTATGAAATTTGTATTCAATTCATGAATATACCTGTCGAGCATAAACTTGCTTCACGTTGGTTGTAATGATGAAATTGATACAGAAGTTAGAAATTCATAATTTCAAAAATATAATTTAGCTTTGTACATGCTGTACTGCAGAGAACACACATCTAAAGTTTCATGTGTTAGATATTTTAATTGTAAAGAGAGTCAGTCCACTGGTAAGTTCCTTCCTTTAAAAATTTTCAAGTTCAAACTTTGGCAGTTGCAAATATCAACAAAATCAAAAATGGTTTTATTTAAGTAAATAAATCATTTTAATTTTAGTAAAGCAGCACACGTTTTTTTGGAGGAAGATCCAAAAAATGCAATAATCAGAGAGATAAGATTAATTTATTTCAACAATTGTCCGGACTATCTCAATTTTTATGCTGATCAATTAGTCATATCAATCAACCTGAACTCTTAACTCTAAGATGACACCAGTTTCCACACCCTTAAGCCTGCCTTTTCGAGTCTCCTTGTTTCTGGTTTCTAGACCATCAGTCGAGTCTTCTCTGCCTTTACTCAGGTCTCGTTTTTCCCTGTTCTCGGCTGATTTGACTCAAATTTTACCTTTATATTGGTCCCGAAACAAGGTGAAGCGAAGGAAAAGCAAATTCCTGAGGCCTGGTGGTCAAAGCCCTTCTTGCAAGGTTGGGCCCAGGCCATCCGTTTAATACATTCGCACGATTGCAAAACCCCACAAGTCCTGGGAGCTTCCATTACCCAGCCCCTTGGACTCATTTGGTCCAAATGTAAGGGCCCACCCAAATTTATGTCTACCCTAACTTTTTATTGAGGCAGGTTGGGCCAATATGGCCAGAAAAAGAACCGTTGGGACAAATTTAAAGAATACCCTAGGGAAATTAAGATAAACACAATCCTGAAAAATTTTATTGTAACAGTGATCATTTATGTTTTAAAATTTAAAACTTTCCCAAATTCACCCAGATTATTTAGAAACCAAATAAAATTAAAAGAGACAACATAAAAGAAAAAGGTGTAGAGATTAGTGACCGTTAATCGATAGTTATTCAGATATCATGAGATGCGGTCGGGTGTGATGTAGGTTTCAGAAAAACATTTTCTTTATCGTGCCAACGTTTCGATCTTTTATTGAGATCATCTTCAGGGCTCAAAGTGTTTGTCTTCTGTGTAATTGTGCCATCCTTGTGTGTCATGTTGAGAGTTTTTCTGAAACCTACATCACACCCGACCGCATCTCACGATATCTGAATAATAAAAGAAAAAGGTTTTTTTCACCTTTAAAGAATAGTTAGTCCTTCTACCACTAACCAAAGTCTCGGGAGAACCTAAAGGCCCTCGGAATCTTCCTCTGTGGCTCAGGTAGTTTTTTTTTCTTTCTTTTTTTTAGGACATTCTATTATTTTAACGTATATTAGGATTAGACAGTTAGCATGTATGCATATATATTTTTTTTTTTCAGGCATTGGAAGAACAGGCTCTTTGGTGACATTACAGCGAAATTACGCTTATAACCATCTCTTACTTCCTGGCCTGGCTGAATATGCCTCACCTGAGGCAATTGCAAAAGCAGCAACTGCTTCCAAAGAAGAATCAGATGCCAGTTCACCATTTGCCCCGATGGTAACAGAAAAGAGTATAAAAATTCCAATCTATTATTAAATATTTGTTTTAATCCCAGACCCAGAAATATCTGAATCGCTTAATTTTAAATGTCATTATGAACAAAGACGTCGAATGGACTCTTGAACCATGGCACCTTAGAGTCGCCTTTAGAAAAGCAGGCTGCATTCTGCCACAAAACAGTATCATTCTACCTGAAAAACCGATCAAAGGCCCTGATCTCTCCTTAGAAAACAAAATGTTTCTAGTCAAAGTGAAAGTAAGTTTTGATTGAAAAATTCAATTGGTTTTAATATTAATCAAGTTTTTTATGGTAGATTAATAACAAAGAAATAGCTACGGTGAGATGTCTGCTGCATCATTGGAGCACCAACCCTGCAGACAAACTTCCCTATATCGTAAATCCTTGGTTTAATGAGCCTGAACCAATGTTTGAGGAAGATAGAGAAACAATAAACAATTTGCCTGTCATTACTCCCAAAGATAGGACTGCCAGACAAAATTAAATGTGCTGTATGTTTTAAACAATTGTAAATAAAATAGTGTTATTATTTTCCAAATTATTTTTACATTTTTTGTATTTAATTTTTATATATAGGGTTGTTAAATCAGTAACAAATTACTGTAAGTGGTATTGGTTCTACAAATCTTTCTGTCAAAAACTATAGTGTAACATTTTTTTCTCCCTTGAGATTTGTGGGGGGGGGGTTGAATACGTATTTTTTTAAACCGTGTCTTCCAATGTATTGCAATGCTAATATTCCATATATCCCTCAATGGAGAAATTGGGGGAAAAAATGAAAGAAAGGATGTTTAATTTGAACTGGTATCAAATGATAACTACAATTTTTAAAAAACTAACAATTAATAGAAAAATAAGATTAAACTTTTTGCCAATAAAAATAAATTTAGAAAACGACTAAAATGGAAATAATTTTTTAAAAAATGAAAAATTGCGCTAGTGCCAATACTAATCTAATTTAACAAAATTAAAAAGGTGATTTGAATACTTAAACACTTATGTTGAAAAGGAAGCAACAAAAACGTTTTTTCAGGGCTAAAAATGTTGGTGACTCTTCTTATTCTTCTTTTTTCTCTTATTTTTAATCTTTGGGTTATGTCCAATTGTCCTATCAGATATCAGATCTCTCTACTCTCTCGCTTCTTACTTCCATACTTTTCTTACACTTCATACCAGCGGGTGGGTATTTTCAAATGTATCGTCATAAGCCTGGGAATGATATACTACCTGTATAGAACTATTGTGGAACCCCTATAAATTATAACCACACCTTGGAAAGAGCACTTTTTCCTAAGCCTATTTTCCCTATAAATTATAAATCAAAACACTCGAACTACCCTTGTAAAAAAAAAGTTTTGGTCTGTTGGTCTTTTTCTAAATATTTTCATAGCACACAATTATCATTATATTAATTAGACGTAAAAAAGAAAAATCTTTTGTTTTGTTAGTTCTTTTCTATCTTGATTCTATGTTGAGATAATTGCGATCGAGAATTTAAGCCGCCTTAAATTATCATCGTGTATACTAAACCCGCAAGTGTTGCAGAAATGTTGATCTTGCACGCGCTATTGCTGACGAACTACTGGAAGTATAAAAAGTTGAAAAGAGACCCATGTTATTGTTTGAAATTAAAATATGAATTCAAACAATATCATGGGCCCCTTTTCAACTTTTTATACTTTGATTTCTGAATTTTTATTGGTAACTTGTGCAAGCAATTTTTTCTCTCTCCATATCCGAAATGTTTTGTGTGATGAAGGCCTAAAATAATAAGTCCGAACGTCGTCAATAATAAAAAAAAGTCATGAACTGATGAGTTATTCATTTTCTAGCTGCCACCTTGACAAATCCTCCAATCATATCTCCATCATTCATCCGACAAGAAACACCAACTATAAACTGAAATGTTTTATATAAAAGATAATCAGTTAAAAGTATTTATTATAATCCATAAATTAGATTTGAAAATTTAGCTTTGTTTACATGACAAGCACCTGCGAAAAAAAAACAAATATTTATTTTGCACCAACCCTACGAGTGGGGATCAGGAATCGCCTTAAATTAACATCCTGTATACTAAACCCGCACGACTTCCAAGTGTTGCAGAAGTGTTGGTCTTACACGCTTAAGAATTGACATTAACTGCCCATCCCCATTCTTTTTTTCATTAAAATTAAGAAAATCCTCAAAGTAAAAGAAGAAAGGATTCATATTTTAGTTTCATTATTTTTTTGGAATAAGCATCAGAGAAACTATTTGTTATTGTTTTTTAACCATGGGTACCGGCCCTGGAGGTCAAAGGGACACTGCTGGCTCAGTCCAGTTAACACCATATTTTCAATTTCCTTCCTTATTAATTTTAATCTTTTTTTAATTTAATTAATTTTATTAATTTTTTTTTTTTTTAATTGGGAAAATCTTTGAAGTAACAGAAGGAAGGATACATAATTTAGGTTTAATGTTTTTTGCAACAAGCGTTGGAGAAAGTCTTTCTATTGTCATTATTTTACTGGGGGAGGGGTACCAGCCCGGAGGATCAAAGGGCTGCCGTCGGCTCAGTCCACGATCGTCCATGTTTGAAGACGGTCATCTCTTTGTTATTTGTCGATTGGGGATTATCATCCCTCACACCAAGCAATCTATCAATTGTCGTTATCATCTCAACATCAACGAGATCGTGGTGTCGGATTTTCTCTACCAAAAATGGCTGGCAGACTCTTCTAGAGACCTAGTTTAGTCATCAGCCTTTGTTCATCGTGCGCCCCTTCAGTTCTCATAGAAGACGGTGGTTGAGAACCAACCAGCACAACTGTCTCGTCAGAATATCGCCATGAGTCGTTTCACTCTAAATCGTTAAAATCCAGCCAAAAAATGACATTTTCACCAGGTGGATTCATCACTTACCTCGTGGAAATTTCGTCATACCCAGGTGGATCATATTTAACTCGGATTTGATTTTCTAGGACATATATTGTAATTTGATTTATTTCATAAAAGGAATCACCATTTTAAATTAACTTTAACCTGCAAGTATATATATATTTGTTTGCATGCTAAAGAACACGAATTTTTTTAAATATTTTCTTTTGTATTGTACAGGGAGAGTTTCTCCATTTCAATTTCCCTTTTCTCTTTGTTGCTTGTTTCTTGTCAGTATCATTTCTTCAATAAATTTGTGGTTTTTCCTAATCTTTAAATTTACATCGCTTGTTTCTATACTCTTTATCACTTTCCTTTTCTCCAGCGACAGTGACCGGCATTGTTGAAACGGAGGAGTGGTTGTGTGAGAAAGACGATCACCCCCCTCAACAACAATGCTCAAATACAATAGTATATAGAATTTTCTTGTCGATCAGGGATTTTCTCATCCCTCACACCGATACAATCCAACAAGCATCATCATAATTGATGCCAACGAGATCGTGGTAGCTGATTTTCAACCAAAACGGCTTGCGGACCCTTCTGGAGATTGGAGATAATCACCAGCATTTGTCATGCCCCTTCATTTCCCATTGGAAACGGTTGTTGGGGAATCTACGACCTTCTCTTCAGAATGTCGCATTGAGTCGTTCCGTTCTACATTGTGAATTCTGGCAAAACGTTTCGCATATATAATTAAAATCTTGTTGTATCCAGGTTGGAATCATTTGTTCTATTATTTAAATCTTGTCTGAATTCAAAAGACATATATAATTTTGATTTATTTTATAAACACACTACGATTGGAACACACTTCTGAGACATATCCTCCAATCAACTGCCCAAAGCATTTCCTGTCTCTTCAAGGGATTTATATTGAACTTTTAACACAATTTTTGCACTGGCAGGAACACTAGCCTCAACACAATCCTTTTTTTTAATTGAATGCAATGTCGACTTGTTGATGTTGAAGAATCTCCCAATAGCAGTTGCACTTTCGCCGACTTGCAATTTATCTAAAACCTTAATTTTAAACAAGAGTGGCATTACTGTTTTTTTTCCATTTCAGTAAAGATGCCATAATGTATAATTAATTACATACTTAGAGATTGTGAGATGTGGTCTAGTGTGACGTAGGTTTAGAAAAATATTTTCTTCATCGTTCCAACGTTTTGAGTTTTATTGAGATCATATTCAAGGCCTGGGATTTATAAACATTATTTAAATTATACAAATACGTGTAAGATGTGAAAAAATGAATTTATACAATGATACGACATTTAAGATTCAATCAAAGTATTTGTGCTCACACAAAGTGTTTGTTTGCTGTGTAGATGTGTCATTACTGTATGTCGTGTTGAGAGTGCCAGTGTGATATTAATGTTTTTTGTTTATATATGTTGGATTTTGAAGGAGTGTGGAAGAAAGTGGGAATAGAAATCCATTTTTCTATGAGGAGGTCACAAAATGCCACAGATAATGTATAATTTTTATTGCAGGTTACCAAAAGATGAACAATATGAAATAAAAGAGGAAAACTAAAAGTATGTCCAGGCAGCAAAACACTGAATCATAGTGGGGGTTGTTGATTTTTCTTAAAAAATTATTCACTCGACTTACAGAACCAATTAGGGATTTCTGAGAATGTTTACATATCTGAAAAAGCTATTCAAAAGATTGAATTTTTTTTTTTTTTTTTTTTTGTTCAGGAATTAATCAAATCCATAAGGCGCGAATGTTGAGGGACTACTGTATTTAATTTCATAGGTCTCTTATAAAATTCAATTATAAACTTCAATAAAAACTAAAATGATTACTAATTAATTGAAAAGAATTTATTTGGTCAATCGGACCATGAAAACTAATAGATGTAAAAAAATAAAATGTTTTGTATAGAAGAGGATTTAGCTTTGTTTACACGACTAGCACCTGTGCAAATGGAACAAATTTTCAAAACTAATTAATTTTACAAAATAAACAATAATTAATCAATTAATTTTACACCAACCCTAGAGGGGGATCAAGGCTTCAAGGATTAACATCCCGTATACTAAACCCGCAAGACTTGCAAGTGTTCCAGAAGTGTTGGTCCTTACATGAACTGCCCATTCCCAAACTTTTAGGACCCTTATTGGATCTTCCTACCCTGTCGGACTGTATGACGCGAAATCCGCCTAGGGAATTGGAAATTAATTATGCAGTTATGGCCTACATGCAAGTGAACATGAATGAAATAAATTGAAAGTTCAGTCGTTTTATTTGTTAAAATTAAGACAAAAAAAAGATTCAAAGATAAATTAAATTTAAAAACTCACTACATTCTCTCTCACACTGAACCTTTAGAAACAGAGCTGGTTTTATATTCGATAAAAAATAAATTAAATAAACTAAAATAAACCATCATACAAAAAGAATTCACACCTTTATCAACAAACAAACTAAAAAAAATTGACATTTTTTCTTAATGATCACAGTGCTTAACCAATAAAATAAAAAAAACTGTGTATCTCTACTGTGTACACCATATTACAGAAGCAAAACTTCCTAATGAAAAGTTCACATTTAATTAACACGTTTGGAATCAATATTCGAATTTTAATTTGTAATCATTATTGGTTCATC